ATATCTGTCAGTGTGTGGGTGTCAGTATTTCTGTCAGTGTATGTGTGTCAGTATGTTGATCAGTGTATGTGTCTGTGTGTGTGTGTGTCAGTATGTCGGTATGTCAATATATGTACCTGTGTCAGTGTGTCTGTCAGTGTATGTGCCTGTTTATCTGTATGTAGTCAGTGTATGTATCTGTGTATCTGCTTGTGCGTCAGAGTGTGTACCTGTGCATCTGAGCCGCAACTTTAAATACAAATACACCCCTCCATTCAAACTTCAACACTACATATAAAACACACTCCTGCATTGAAACGTCAACACTACATACAAGCACACTCCTACATTCAAAAACAAACACTACACATAAATGCACACTTGCATTCAAACTCCAGTACCACATACAAACACATTCACACAAACATACTCCATACAAACACATGCTTACATTCAAACATACTAACATGGCTCAGTGCTAAATACAACCCTGCAAGCATGGGAAATTGGTAGAGTCCCAGCTGTCAAAGCATTGTTGGAGTTGCACGACAGATGGGGTTCTACCTTTAGTCCAACCTTGCAATTGGGGGTCCCAATAAAATTCATTCTACTTTAGTACCGCCACTGCGTTGGGATGGATGCCGTGATTGCATACCAGGGAGTGAGGGGCGAGAGCGGCAGGGCACAGGGGGCCCAAGCAAACACTTGCCCAGGGTCCATTCGTTATTAAAGACGGCCCTGACTATAGTGCCCTAAGGGTGCCCCCACCCTATGTTTACATCGGAAGGGTTAAAACCTGAGGGACCTGGCACCCAGACCACTTCATTGAGCTGAAGTGGTTTGGGTGACTATAGTGTCCCTTTAACTTTTATTAACTTTATAAACTTTTTTACAGGCATTAGGAGGACTGCCTGAGAGCCAGGCAGGCACTGCATAAGCCGACTATTCCGGCCATATGATCGCAAGGACCCTGTAATCACATGGCCGGGGGGGGGGGGTCGAATCGGGCAGAGGTGGTCTTCCTGAGCTCCCAGGCAGACCCCAGGATTGCGACCGCCGTAGGGGTAACAGCGGGGACCTGGTAAGTACCCTGGACGGCGGGGACGTTCTATGCCGCATGCTGGCGTTTAGAACCGCCCCAAAAAGGACAGCATGGAACACCCACCGTCCTTAAGGGGTTAATTATCCTAGAATAAATACTAATACAGGAAGTGGCTGTTATATAAGAAAACTTGATGTTCAGGTGAGTTCTGGCATAAAAATAACCCCCACCTTGAATAACATTATAATAAAAATTATATAATATAATTATACAAATTATATTTTAAATATTAATAATTAACCCCTTATGGACGGAAGTAATTGTACACGTTCTGATCAAAACAAAACTTGAAGTTGAACTATATGTCTGTTTAACCCCTTAAGGACGGAGTAAATTGTACACGTTCTGATCAAAACAAATGTAAACAAAACCTGGAATTTGCACTATATGTCTGCTCACCCATAATTCACCTCTTTCATTTTAAGTGCACCCACACTTATATATCATGTTGTTCAGGAGAAACAGGGCTTTCATTCCACATCAACTATTCATATATATATAACAATTGATGATGAGTAAAATAAAAACAAAAGTATGATAAATTAAGATTTTTTTTTTAGTTCTGTGTGGCATTTTAACTGTGAATGCCATAATACTGTTAGCTTTTACTGCAATAAAATGCACATATTTGTATTCAGCGTGTCTTACGAGTACAAACCCCCAACAACAGGTTTTGTGGTGTTTTGGAAAGTTACAAGGTTAAATATAGCATGTTACATTTTTCAGTTTATACTCATTGAAATTTGCCAGATTAGTAATGTTTCCTTTGAGACCGTATCGCAGCCCAGGAAATGGAATTACCCCCAAGATGGCATTTCATTTACAAAAGTAGAGAACCCAGGGTATTTAATATTGGGTATGTCCACTCTATTTTAGTAGCCACTTAGTCACAAACACTGGCCAAAGTTAGCGTTTGTGAAAAATGCAAAATTTTGTGACTAAGTGGCTACTAAAAAAAGACTAGACATACCCCACTTGCAATGCCTTGGGTTGTCTACTTTTGCAAATGGTATGCCATCTTGGGGGTAATTTTCATTCCTAGGCTACCATACGGTTTCAAAGGCAACATTACCAATCTGGCAAATTTCAGTTAGAAAAAACTGAAATACAAGCCTTCTATATGACTCTCTAACTTTCCAAAACACCGTAAAAACCGGTACATGGGGGTTACTGTTATACTCAGGAGACTTCACCGAACACAAATATTTAGTGTTTAGTAAACTATGATTACATTTTCTTTTAGTTCTGTGTGGCATTTTAACTGTGCATGTCATTATACTGTTAGCATTTACTGCAATAAAATGCACATGTTTGTGTTCAGCAATGTCTCACGAGTACAACAGTACCCCCCATGCACAGGTTTTATGGTGTTTGGAAAGTTACAGGTCAAATATAGCACATTTCCTCTTTTCAGATTTGCCAAATTGATAATGTTGCCTTTGAGACCGCATGGTAGCCCAGGAATGAGAACTACCTCAAAATGGGGTATATTCAGTCTTTTTTAGTAGCCACTTAGTCACAAGCCCTGGACAAAATTAGCATTTATATTAGTTTTCTTTTTGCATTGTTCACACTTAAACAGCCATTTCACCGATGATATTATCAGTATAATACATTTTACTGCTCTAAAACACTCATATTTGTGTAGAGTAATTTCTCACGAGTACAACAGTACCCCTCAAGTACAGGTTTTATGGGGTTTTGCAAACTTACAGGGATCAAATGTAGGGCTTTCCCTTTTCCATGTTTGCACTTTGAAATTTGCCAGATTGGTTTGCTGGGCCAATGTTGCCTTTGAGACAATATGGCAGCCCAGAAATGAAAATTAACCCCACCATGACATACCATTTGAAAAAGTAGACAACCCAGGGTATTCAAAATGGGGTATGTCCAGTCTTTTGTAGTAGCCACTTAGTAACAAACGCTTGCTTTGTGCGTTTATATTAGTTTTTTGCATTATTTTAACATAAAAACTACACTTTTACTGTTGATTTCATAGTCGTGATAGGTTTTACTGTTTTAAACACTCATATTTGTGTTGAGCAAAGTATAACCATACCCCCGAGTATAACAATACCCCCCCATGTACAGGTTTTATGGTGTTTTGGTAAGTTACAGGGTCAATATAGGGCTTGCCCTATACAGTTTGCCAAATTGGTTTGCTGGGTCTGTGTTGCCTTTTGAGACCATATGGTAACCCAGGAATGTGTAATAACCCCATCATGGCAGACCATTCAAATGTAGTCAAGCCATAAGACTTGCTTTTCCCACAGAAATCACAAATCTGCAGTGATGTTACTACCGCAAAGGATTCTGGGTGGGCATATGCAAATTAGTTTAACAAAGAATCACATTTTTGCCTCATTCCATTTTAAACATGGATTCCTTTGAGTCTGTGTTTGCTGTATACAACAGCTTTGAAACACAACTTAGGAAAATATCCAAAGCCAGTGAACCACTCATGGACAGCTGTTTCCTTGTTAACGTGATTTATCAGCATGAGGTTGGTTACTGGTTTGCTACTGAGGCTTGGTAGTGCTTGGGAAGCAAAATCCAAATGAAAACCTCTTCCACCTGAAGTCTTTTGATAGTCAATACAATGTTACACAACAATCTGCATACCAGTCAAGCCATAAGACTTACTTTTTCCACAGAAATCACAAATCTGCACTGATGTTGCTACCGCAAAGGATTCTGGATGGGCATATGCAAATTAGTTTAACATATAATACGTATGTGTGTGTGTGTATGTATGTATATATATAGCATCCAAGTAGAGAGCACTCTGGAGTCTTCGTTTTATATCAAAATAAATACTGCTTTATTGTGCAGAATACAAAAATGTCAACGTTTCAGTCACAATAGACTTTTCTCAATAAAGCAGTTATATAGTTAATCTCTTGTCCTTGTGGTCTTTTTTACATTGGCAAAACGGACTTAACTCTCAGGGACAGAATCAGAGGTCACAGGTCGGCCATCATGACAGCCTTTAGAGATGGGAAAACAGAAAAACCAGTGGCAAAACATTTTCTGGAATTCAATCACAGATTACCTACTCTTAAATTCATTGCCATAGATGTGATACCCGTTCTGGAGGTGGAGACCGTTCCAGATTGTTGTTACAGAAAGAAACCTTTTGGATAAAACAGTTGTGGATACTATATATCCTAAGGGTCTGGGATATCGTTTAGTTCACTTTTGGATGTTCGTTAATTTAGCATTGTATTTTTTAACGTTGTTTAGATATAAGGAGCCTAGTGTATGGTAGCTTTAATGTAATGTATTTACAGATATATGTTTTATCATTAACAATATTCGCTTGTACTTTACAGCTAGATTGTTTCTATTTATGGTAATTAGGAAAATTACACATGGCAATACGGTTTTATATTTACAATATATTTAACAACTATATTGCATCTGTCTATGGCAGATCAGGGATAGGATAAATGGTAATAGTAGTTATTTTGATGGGATTATACACTTATTGCTTGAGGGCAGATTGTCAGATTCAGTCACATTAGGGTCACACACACTTCTCTTAGGTCTGTTTTTTTAGTGTCCTCGTGGCCGGGTATGGTTATTCACTTTTTCACATTACTCAATATTTGTTTGACACGTATTTTGTTCACACAGACCGGCTTGCTTTATTAGATATCTATTCAGGTCTCTTCAACTACACACACTTTTCGGATAGCTTTTCATTACTCAGGATTCCACTACACTTTCTTGCACACCACATACACGTTCTTTTCTTTTTGGCCAATCTGTTTTACCCTCTGATTTGATCGTTACCATGTGTTCCCTACAGTTGTTTACGTGTCTATGAGTTGATCTTAGGATCTATAGTAACATCTTCACTATTTCCTCCACGCAGTACGCATGTCACTGTAGGTGGTGTATGATTTCTATGGAACGTATGCTTATTCATGGCGTTTTGCACGTTGATGCACGCATTACGTCAGTACGCACGTCAGATTACGAACACATGTCACGACGCATGCACACAGGCATCCAGCGCGGCACAGCAAATGGGAATCGCTTCACACAAATGAGGTAAGTTATACATTTAATGTTTAGTATATATTTGCACTGTATGACACTGTCATTATCTTGATAAAGACCCTGAAGGGTCGAAACGTTGATGTAAAGGTGGGGATTATTTTTTGAAATATAATTGGAAAACCGAGAGAGTGCTCCTGTCTTTACTTTGTTTATATGCTCTGCAAGGAAGCAATTTATTTATTGATTATTTTTATTATATATATATATATATATATGTATATATATATGCCAATAGATATAATACACGTGGGATACAGCTGCTAAACCTAAAATACAATTAAAAAAAAATAGCATAATACAGCTGATGGATATATAATAATCCCTGCATCAACGGTACTGTGCTATGTTCTTTTTTTAATTATATTTTAGGTTTAGCTGCTTACTCCCATGTGTATTATATCTATTGGCTTGTTTAGACGTAACACTACTTGGGAGGTGTTTGGTGGAAAGCTGTTCTTTATTTATTGATAAGTATATGCTATTTATTCTTTTGTTCTTTGTTATTTATATATATATAATTATACAGAAAAATATTAAAATACACTTTTAATAATGATTTTTGTATGTGCATATAAAAGTACTTAGATCATATTTAAAGTACTTTTATTTACTTTTTAAAACTTTTGTGCAGGAATTAGGGGGACTGCCTGAGAGCTCAGCTGCAGTAGCCTGCTATTCCGGCCATGTGATAGCGAGGACCCCGTGATCCATGACCCAGGAGAGCTGGATCGGGCAGGGGGGGGGGCCTGCTTTAGCTCCCAGGCAGTCCCCAAGATCGCGATCAGGTAAGTGGGATATTTTACTAATGGACGTACCAGGTACGTCCGCGGCCGTTAACGGATGTTTTTTGTCAGAGGTATCTGGTATGTCCATGGTAAGGAAGGGGTTAAAGGTAAACTCCCTCGGCGCTGGCTCCAACTCCACCCCACGCTCGCATTAGGATAGGACTTCCTTCATGGGAAAGCATTATACAGTGCTTTCATATGGGGTTTCGGGTGACGCTGGATGTCCTCATACATAGCGTGAGGACGTCCAGCCTCAGGCAACTAAAAGTCTGGTAGACAGCCTCTAGAGTTGGAGTTAACCATCAACGGTAATTGTTACAGTTTATTGAAAACTGCAATGATTACCTTGGCAGGGATTAGGGACCTGGGGCACTGCACCCAGACCACTTCAATGAGCTAAAGTGGTCTTGGCGCCTATAGTGTCCCTTTAAGTGGAACTGCTGAATAAACTCATCCTTTCTGTATAACCTAATGAAAAAAACTTAAGCTAAATAATTGTGGATTAGTGGAATTGCTAACACCCTAGTACCACAGGGTTTATATTTTGTGTCCCTAATTTTCTTTAAAAATCAGTCTTCCTCTATTGCCAAGTTACTTCCAGATTTACACGTCTTGCAGTGGTATTTGATTAATATTGACTTTTCTAGTTTGTGTGTTGGGGAACTGCTCATACATTAAGCTGCTCATATATTAAAATGGCACACAAACCTGTATTATTAATGCCATGAGTGCCCTATTTGCAGGTTTGTTTTAGGTTCCAATCCCCTCCCTCATCCTTTTTACTTTTCTTTATTCCAGTATCGAGACTTCCTCGGCGCAGTCAGCCACTCCACCTCCTGTGACATCATCCAGCTCTCGAGCCTATGGCCAAAATAATGTGCATGCACAGTGAAAGCTGCGCATTCATTCAAATGCTTCACATAGGAAAGGATTGAATTCGATGAATTTTTCTATGAGCGTCCACTTCTTGTGATTGAGTTTTTGATTCTTTGGTCCTTTAAACTAAATCCTTGGCAATAGGAGCATATGCTATGTTCATGAAATTGGGTTCTTTGCTTAAAGACAACTATGTGGTTATATCAGAGATCAGAATTTCAGGTCATTTACTACTAACTGGTCCTAAAAGCTACTTGCCGTGGCATGTGACCACTGGAAATAGACAGGACAACCATACCCACAGCCACCCTCACCCCAAATGACTCGTACACCATCATCTGAGAATCTACTAACTGCGCAGTTTAATTTGGCAGAGTTATAGAACATCCTGGAAAAACAAAGTTAAATAGTTTACTAAAGTTCCCATCCGGTGCTTCCCTATATCCGCCTGGCACGTGTACCCAATAACTGCTGAGTGCAGAATACACCCTGTCCTTTGGGCAGGTGCCAAGGTCACCATCTGACATAAAATGGAAGTGTCTAATAGACCATCTTTCATTCTGTACCATGAGACCTTGCATGTTCGTAGCTCTGATCTTGGCTGGTAAGTTCTGTGTTTCAATGTTTAATGTGCTTCATCTATGATGCATAGGGAAACAATGAAGCAGGAATCAGCATGATTTTAGGATCTGTGTACAGGGGTCAGAGAGTTTCCTCAGAATCTCTGGGAGGGATACAGTGTTTCTCATTAAGAGTTCAAGAAATCCATTCTGTTGAGGGTACTTTAAGTCTGGAATTAAGGAGATTTTGCAGGACTTGCATCGTTTTTTGCAGAAAGCATTGAAATAAAATGTTTTTAAAAATAAAACCCTCTCACTAATCCAGTAAATGTTAATTGATCTTGTTTACTAACCCGAATTGTCAAAGCTTTGTGTATAGTAATTGCCAATAATGAACAATTTGCAACATTTTGGTCAAAAAGCACTTTTTCTAATAATTTAATTGAATAGTATCTAATGATAGTCATTTAATGGATTTGTTAAATTTTAATTAGGCCATTCCATCATGTTAATTCACTTTTAACTTTCACTTTCTTTCAGACAACTTCACTTTTATTTTCCCTTCTTCTAACTTGACAGCTCTTTCTAAGTATCATCCTAAATACATGGATGGTACTGGTTTCCGATGTGTAAAATAAAACATACAAATACAATTATTCATGCAGCGCTGCACAATATGAAGGAAAACAAATATTTAAAGGGACACTCCACCATTTAAATACAAAATAAATAAAAATCACTGTTTAGTAGATATAACCCACTGAAGATGTTGCTGCATGAAGAAAGTGATTTTATTCCTAAATGGAAGAGAATTGAGCAATGAGACTACATTGATCTATATACCAAAATTACTTCATTAAAGGGACACTCTACTGCCCAAATACAAAATAAATAAAAATCACTGTTGTAAGTAGATATACCCCAAACGATAACTTGCATGCATCTAAATATGCATTTTTTTAATTGGAGTTATATCTAAAAACAGCTTGCAAAAACTGCAGCTCTCTTCTCTGCTGCCTTTGCAAGCCCTCTTTTACTAACCCTGCCCAGACTGTCTGTGGCTGTCCTATCACAAACTTCTCAATACAGCTCAATGAGAAGTCTTTGCAAAGAAGGTGCTCTGGACAATTGCTGCCTCTGCAACTAAGCTAATCAAACCAGGAAGTAACAGGACTTGTTATCTGATTGATAGCTAGGGGTATGTCACTAGTATCATTTATAAAAGTGTCAATTTCTAATGAAATCTGTACTTTTTTCAAAATGAAAAAATAGGACACACTCTTCACACATAAAGCTTTTTAGCAAGCTAAAGTGCTCTATGGGTCTGGAGTGTCTCTTTAATTTTAACAAAATATGTATGACATACGGGAATAGTACTAGAAGGTCTTGCCCAAACAAGCTCATAATCTAAAGGACATACAAAATGGGAATTTAACCAGGGATTGGCCATGTGTTGTTCAGTTAAGTTATTTTAAGGAATAGTTTTCAATCCACTGATTCACTATAAATATTGTGGATGCTTTTCTTGTGTAAATTCAATAGACAATTAAAGTGTTGGTTCTTTAAACGAGAGAAATCTCAATGTATCTTTCGTGGTAAAATATTTTATAAATAAAAAAAAATTTGTAGAGGCTGTCAGGGGAGATAATTGCCTAAAAATTCTACATCATAAATTTAAAATAAAAAATAAATACAGGGTGCAAAAACTCCAGCCCAACAATATTTAGCAAAATAGAGTGCAATCACTGAAGGGATTATTAATCCATAAAACAGACCATTCAGTCGACTTTTCGATTCTCTTACACACTTTTGTCAAGATAAATATATATATATATAAATGTATTGATAATGGATTTCTTGTCAAATGCATTATTGTGTAAAGGAAAGTAGTTATTTTTTTATTTTTTTGCCAAGATGTTAGGAAGAACTGTGATGTATCTACTCTGCTTCTTTGTCTTTGCTCCTTCTCTCATTTATCTATACAGTAATTTCCATAATAGGCTGTGCATTTATGTGTTTTATGTGAATATTTTTATATATCTTTTCTATGAATCCAGACAGCAGAGCAGAATCAGAACCTTTGCCGACAGGCAACAGTAACTGACCACAACAACAGAAAAAGTAATACTTCTTATATCTCGGAATGATAGAAAAACTCACACACACACACACAACCCCCATACCTTTTCTCCCTTGTATCTCAGTTCTCTGCAAAGAGCTCTATTTCCTTGGTACAGCCGACTGCGCCAAAATTGATTCATTGGTGAGGAAGGGACATGTCTTATTACAGATTTATTTTAAAAATATGTTTGCAAACCATACTACATGATTAAATTAAATGCTCTATAATGCAAGCCTGTACGTACTATGACCGGTATACTTTAAAAAAACAGACTTGCACTCAACATGTAGTACCTATCCTTGGGACCAACTGCAGTGTGATTTATTAAACCATCTATAATAAAATATATACTTTCTCGCCACTAGATGGTGCTATATGTATTTTCATTTTTGAATGTCTCAGGAATCTTCCAGTCTCTAGAAGTGTATTAGTTGGGTAAACAGAATGTTTGCCTTTCATGCATGATTTATGTGTTGTTTATCCTAATTTACACAGTTATACATTATACACGTTATACAAGTAGAGATATGTACGTGTGTGTGTATATATATTGGCCTGTATGTGGCTGATGAACATTGACACATTGATATATAGAGAGTAGAACATTTTCTGCACAATTTTCAAATTTCATTTTTGAATAGATTAATATTAATTGGCACTTGAAGTGTACATTAAGAATATGATTTCTATTAGTTTTTTGTTTTCTTTTTCAAACTCAGTACTCATATATAATTAATGATATATGGACCCAAGTCTTAAATTAATTGTACTCTTCCACATGACATGTAATTGAAGTAAAAGCCACTGATGAGCCTCTGATTGCTATCTGAGCAGACAGAGCTTCCTATTCTATATTTGTTCCCACCAGGAATGGCTCTGGTTCTGGAGTCCTAGGGAACAGAAAGTCGCATTCAGAATAAAGGACAACTCCAGGCACCATAACAACTTTGTACTATAAAAACTATATTGTGATAAAGAGGTCCCAGGCGCTAGCTTACTTTAAGGTGTTAAACCACTAATAAAAAGTACTCAAACTGGCATCCGATCCCTTTGCCCCTGTATCTCCACTCAATCATAAAGCCACTAGATTCCCGTTGAGAAAAGAAAGTGAGAAAGATGCCTACCTTTTTTCACTCTCTCTGTTCAGAGACAGAGGTCACTGAGTGGCAATACAGGGGCAGATCGATTCAGCGGCAGCTTGAAGACTGTGAAGTTAAACTGTTCAGTAACCTTAAACCCCTTCATGTAAGCTGGTGCCTGGGCACTCCTCGCACCATAATAACTTTATTGAGATGAAAATCTGTATCAAAGTACTTGAATGTTATTTATTTATTTTTTTAACTGTTCATGTTCAAACATTTAATTAATTTCCTCCCCTCCTCTCTTCTTCAGTCTGGGTGGTCTCCATCCAGCCACAGCGTAGAAGCGTGCCGCAGTTCGAGCGTATAATAAGATGCACTATACCTGGCAGCAATCCCATCCTTGATTATAACAATTATGGATGTTATTGTGGGTTTGGAGGTTCTGGCACACCTGTGGATGATCTGGACATGTAAGTTCTTTAAAAAACACTGTCTTTGTACTAGGACTGGATCTAATCTGATTTTTATGTTCTGCTAATTCAGCTTAAATCATACACAGGAGGCTGCTGTAGACAGGCAAATAACAGCAAAAGAGATGAAAACTTCTCAAACATACTGTGCAATAAGGAAAGCTTAAAAAAAAATCTGTAAGTACACAGGGACGCTATGTGAGCCTCAGCCACGGGAGATGTGGCTATAACTGCATGGAGGAAGTAATTTAATCCTAGATGGAAGAGAATTGAGCAATGAGACTACAGTGATCTATATACCAGAATCACTTCATTAGTGGGACATTCCACTGCCCAAATAAAAAAATAAATAAAAAGCATTGTTTAGTAGCTATACTTTTATAATATATTTTTTCATTGGAGTTATATCTAAAAACAGCTTGCAAAAAACGGAAGATCTCGTCTGCTGCCTTTCCCATCCCTCCCCTTCTAACCCCGCCCAGAATTTCTGTGACTTTCCAATCACAGACTTCCCAATGCAGCTCAATGAGAAGTCTTTGCAAGGCAGGTGCTCTGGGTAATTGCTGCTCTTGCTCTTGAGTTCAATGGAAATGAGCTAATCAAACCAGGAACTAACAGGACCAGTTGTCTGCATGAAAAACCAGACAGGCCCGGACTGGCCATTAGGCAAATGCCTGGTTTCTTTTCCTGACACTATAGTGATCCTTTAAAAAAAAAAAAAAAGTTTATATCCCCTCCTCCTTGAGACCTACCTTTTGCCAGGAAGGGGGGAATTCAGATCCTGGCTGGTACAGTGGGAGAATCATTTTGTCTGTACCCCCAGTGGGCATCCTGGGGCCGTGGATGAGATCCACAACCCCTGGATGCCCACTGGGGGTACAGACAAAATTATTCTCCCACTGTACCAGCCAGGATATGAATTCTCCCCTTCCTGGCAAAATGTAGGTCTCAAGGAGGGGGGAATAAACTTTTTTTTTTTTTTTTTAAAGGATCACTATAGTGTCAGGAAAACAAACTTGTTTTCCTGACCTTATATAACCCTTAGGTACCCCCCTCACTCAGGGCCCCTCTCTAAAACCCCTCTCTAAAACCCCTTCAGCCACTTACCTCGGCGCTGGTGACCTTACCTCCCACTCTGACGTCAGCTCCCGGCCAGAGCCACGCGCACATTAAAAACGCCTATAGGAAAGCATTTCTCAATGCTTTCCTATGGACTTTCTGCACGTAGAATGCGATTTTCGCATTCAACGTTTCAGAAGCGCCTCTAGTGGCTGTTAGTAAGACAGCCACTAGAGGCTGGATTAACCCTGCAATGTAAACATAGCAGTTTCTCTGAAACTGCTATGTTTACATCTGAAGGGTTAAAACCTGTGGGACCTGGCACCCAGACCACTTAATTGAGCTGAAGTGGTCTGGGTGACTATAGTGGTCCTTTAAGTAATAATTTTTCCTCCATATATTTCACTCCCCCATCCCACATCACGGTTCATATCCCCCACTACTGTACTTACCCATTAAGACATCCCCCATCATGGCGCCTATACCCCACATCAAAGACCCCATCCCCTACATTACAGTTCCTGTACTGCCCCTATCCCCAACACAGTCCCATTATCACAGCGCCTTTTCCTCACATTTCAGCTCATATTTCCTTATCACATACCCTATTCCCCAGCACAGCCCCTCTAAGTTTCTCTCCCCCACTACAGCCCCTGACCTAACACAGCCCTATCCCCCTACACATCACAGCCACTATCCACTGCATATACTGCAGCATATACAGTATCTCACAAAAGTACACCCCTCACATTTACGTAAATATTGTCTCATATCTTTTCATGTGACAACACTGAAGAAATTACACTTTGCAATGTAAAGTAGTAAGTGTACAGCCTGTATAACAGTGTAAGTTTGCTGTCCCCTCAAAATAACTCAACACACTGCTATTAATGTCTAAACCATTGGCAACAAAAGTGAGTACAACGCTAAGTGGAACTGTCCAAATTGGGCCCAATTGGCCATTTTCCCTCCCCGGTGTCATGTGACTCGTTAGTGTTACAAGGTCTCAGGTGTGAATAGGGAGCAGGTGTGTTAAATTTGATGTTATCACTCTCACACTCTATCATACTGGTCACTGGAAGTTCAATATGGCACCTCATGGCAAGGAACTCTTTGAGGTTTTGAAAAAAGAATTGTTGCTCTACATAAGATGACCTAGGCTATAAGAAGATTGCCAAGCCCCTGGAACTGAGCTGCAGCACGGTGCTCTCCCTCCCCAGCCCCTTTGACTCTCCCCCAGCTCATTTGGCTCTTCCCCAGCTCCTTTGTCTTTTCCTCCAGCCCATTTGAGTCTTTGTCATTCCCCCAGCCCTGCTGCATACCTCTGTCTCCCCTTAGCCCTCCTGTGTGTTTCTGTCCCCCCCATAGATCCACTGTGTGCCTCTGCCTGCTCCACCTCCCCCCCCCCACACACACACACATCCCCCTGTGTGCCTCTGTCTGCACCTCAACAGTTCTACTGTTTGTCTCTTTGTCCCCTCTCCCCATGGTAGCTCACTTCTCTCCATATAGCTTGGCCGAACCATAGACTGCAGTGGAGGTTCTTCTATTTTGTCTACACGGTCTGACAGGAACATATTCTGTGCTCTCAGTGAGCAGTTGCCCTCAAACCAGATAGAGGATACAGAACATCTTCTACTGCGGCTCAGCCATGCTACATGCAGTGAGGGGAGGAGTGTGCATTGCGCTCCCCTCCTGAGTCATCTGGACACTGTATCCCCGGGCCAGTGTGCCCTAGGCGGCTGCCTAATTCGCTAGTGGTTGCGTGGGCCCTGCACTGGCATACCTACTTTGGGAAGTGTGCATGACAATGCTGATGACACAACACACCCCTCTCTGATCCAGCCTCCACCAGTATTGGGCTGCTCTGCCTTTAAATGCCCAGGCCCCATTTTTGTCTCAGTCTGGCTCTGGTTGCAGGTATCTGACTTTTAGTAGTGTGTGTTTGGTAAAATGTGTTTTTGGAAAGCAACTTTAGGTGCTGAAACAACCAGCTTTGCTGGCATGGTCTATATGTCGTAATTATGTTATATTTCATGGCCAAACATATGACCATCTATTTCTCATGAACACTTTTTTTGGCCTTCAACCAATGTTTTTTTAAACCTTTCCAGCATATCTTGCCTGGATCATGAAATATGGGTGCCCTCCATTATATTCAGCAAACCTTGTGAACCCAAGATCTGTCTTTACTCTTAATAATTCTAAATTACGTTTCTATTTTATTCTATTCTGATGTGGAATTTTATCACCTTCTCAGACTTTTATTTATTTTGTTTATAATTGGTCTCTAAGGTGCTGTAAAATACACGACGACTGCTATGGTGACTACAGTGATGCGGGCTGTTGGTTTTACTTTGATCCCTACTTGATGTTTTATTCCTACTCTTGTAAGGATAAAAATGTGACCTGCAGCAGTAAGTAAATTATCAAGACCTCTGTGAGACAGTTATACATGTGATGTAATTAATGACATCGGACTGGTGAGACCTCACTTGGAGTATTGTACGCAGTACTGGGCACTGTATCTCCAGAAGGATATTGATACTTTAAAAAGAGTTCAGAGAAGGGCTACTAAACTGGTTCATGGATTGCCGGATAAAACTTACCAGGAAATGTTAAAGGATCTTAACATGTATAAGCATGGAGGAAAGATGAGACAGGAGGGATATGATAGAAACATTTAAATACGTAAAGGAAATCAACACAGTAAAGGAGGAGACTATATTTAAAAGAAGAAAAACTACCACAACAAGAGAACATAGTCTTAAATTAGAGGGGCAAAGGTTTATAAATAATATCAGGAAGCATTATTTTAGGTAGTGGATGCATGGCATAGCCTTCCAGCTGAAGTGGTAGAAGTTAACAAAGTGAGGGGGTTTAAGAATATGTGGTATGGGCATAAGGGTATTCTAGACTCAAGAGACTAATGCAAGTATTAAGAAAATTGGGCAGACTAGATGGGGCGAATGGCTATTATCTGCCGTCACATTCTACGTTTCTATCGTAATGGTCAATGTTTTTGCGTCACGATTGGTGGTTTAACACACACATCTACGTGGGCTCCACCATGTGCTTTTACCAACCCCGTCCACTAGTTTACAGGCCTTATCTCAACCACTTAGTCATGTATTAGACCCATTGCTACTATAATACATATTACTTTTTGCTTAGCATTCCATAATTCTGTCTTTTTGTCTAATCCAGCTCATGGAGTTTAGCTAGCCTGCTAGGGATTACACTTGGGCCCCCCCAAAAAATTTCGTTTAGTCCTAATACATTTGTATGAAAAAAAAAAAAGTGTTTTTTTTCTAATTTTATCCATTAGCTCATTGGTTTTGGATTGAATTCAACCATTATTTTGGTCTCTGAATTTCATTTGTATGAATAAAATTCTGCAATGCATACCGCAGGTGCATTTTGCAGATTACTCTGTAAATTGTTATCCTTTTGGGATTGTCATATTTTAATGGAGCGGCTTAGTAAACCGCTCCCTTATTTGGTATCTGTATGGCAATCCTACATAAGGATTAGGTAGCTATATACTCAGTAAAGTAGGTTAAAAGACTAAAATCAAGAAAAGGAAGGTTTTCATTTTCATTTTGACCTTTCAGCTTCTTACCAAGTTAAAAAAAAAAAAATGGTATTAATAATTTCAGGGAGGTTTAACACCTCCCTCATACCCCAACCCACCATGTCGTGGTTAGTGGCATGTATACTAAACAGCGAGCAACCAGTGGCTTCTTACTAGGGCCGGACTGGCCCACCGGGATACCGGGAAATTTCCCGGTGGGCCGTCAGCACCTGGGGTCGGGCAGGCTCCCCCATGCGGCCGACATCAGAGCTCCCCCTGTGGCCGCCAGCACACAGGTAGCAATTATCTGGGTCTGTCTGTCATTGTGTGTGTGTGTCAATGTCTGTCATGGTGTCTGTCTGTGTCATTGTGTGTGTCTGTCATGGTGTGTGTGTGTTTCTGTCTGTGTCATGGTGTGTGTGTGTGTGCCTGTTGTGTCATGCAATGTGTGTGTGTGTGTCATGTAATGTGTGTCTGTCTATGTCACGGTCTGTCTGTGTCATGGTGTGTGTGTGTGTCTGTATGTCCTGGTGTGCATGTGTCTGTGTCACGGTCTCTCTGTGTCATGGTCTGTGTGTGTCTGTATCATGTAATGAATGTCTGTGTCACGGCGTGGATGTGTCTGTGTCACGGTCTGTCTGTGTTATGATGTCTTTTTTAAGGTATGTGTCTGTCATGGTATGTGTGTGTGTCTCTGTCATGGTGTGTGTCTGTGTCACGGTGTGTGTCTGTCATGGTATGTGTGTGTTTATGTGTTTTTACTCACCTTTTTTTTTCCCCCACGTCGTGCTGGTCTCTCCTCGACTGGCCCTGCTTTTATGGCTGAGATCATCAAGCTTGATGATCTCAGCCAATCCGCACTGACACAGGATGCACCTCTAGTGACCGTCTGAGTGTCTGTCACTAGGAAGCAATGTTAATACTGCATTTTCTCTAAAAAGTCAGTGTTTACATTGAAAAGCCTTCAGGGACAGGCTATAGACACCAGAACCACTACATTAAGCTGTGTGTGTGTGTGTGCGCGCACCTGCTAGTGAGTGGGCTGGCTTGTGTGTGTGTGTGTGTGTGTGTGTGTGCCTGCTACTGAGTGAGCTTGTGTTTTTATGTCAATGACATTATGTATATCAGTGAGATTGTTTGTCTATGAGGCTCTGTATCCATCCGCAAAATTTTACTCTGAAAGGACCAATATTTTATATTGGAAAAAGCAAAATAAATATATATATATATATATATATATATATCTATATCAATCATCTAAGACATAGCCTTACATATTACATGCGACAATATATGGCGCAATGACTTATGGGGCTGGCATAGATTTTTTTCCAGGGCTGCTTTGGAATCCCCAGTCCGGCCCTGCTTCTTACTGTCATAAAAGACTAGCGACTGGCCAGCTACTGCTTCCCAGTTGCTAATCCAATAAAGTAAGACCTGGTACAAGTCCCTGTGCATCCGTTGTGGGGCACCTAATAAACAGGGATGGGGACAATTAAAATAAACAGGTGGGACGGAGGGTTGTGTTTTTTAACTCGTGGCTAGTGGGAGTGGGTTCTAAATAATAAAGGGAGGGTGGAACTACTATCCCCCCTTGCACCCCTACCCACTGGTGGCAGGTTAAAGTTGTAAATAATAAAGGGGAATGTCTTCTTTTCAGCACAAGCCCCATGAAAGGCCAAATAAAAATCCCACCCGCTGCACATTGTAGGGGCTACGGGAACAAAGATATGTCTTATCTCTTTCTATACTCATAGTCCCCACCCACAGGCCATTGGGGTGCAGGGGTTGGACAGTAACATGTTCACATACCAATATTAATATTTACCCACACCCAATGCACAGGCATGGGGACCAGTACTAGGTTTCTCTATGGTAATTTACTTTGCCAAAGAGTTGCCCAGTCTTTAAGTAATGGTTAGCAGTCAATGGCAGACAAACACACCAATACACATTTCCAGACACTACCAGAACATACAGATTCATTAGCCACCCTACTGGTTTTCTACTTTTCTGCTGCAGGAGGGTGGTTTTTCTAGGGTCTAGTGAGGAAAGTTCAGGTACTGGTTTCCAGTTTATCTTGCCTTGTCAAACAGAATTGTTTGTGCTGGGAAGTAAAGGTATGAAATCACATCCTCCAAGCACTGCTGCAGATGGCTAAGAATGCAGTCCAGTTGTTCAAAATATTCTCTCTTAAACCAGAATTGCGCCCTTGCAGGCCCCCTGGGCAAGTGGGTTGCTCCCTGCCACACTCACTGTGCCCACTTAATGGCATTCCTGAACGCAAACATTGTGTCTAAGCCTTGGTTCAAAGTCTATTGGTAAAAGTGGTAACTTGGTTTAAAGCGAAATTAGGACACAACACCAGCTTAATTCTAGTGTTTCCAAAGACCCCTTGGTCACATTGAGTTTAGCAGCAGAAAATGGCATAAATCAATGTTAGTGAGTTATTATGATTCTTTGATACAAATAACTCATTTTAGTTGCATTTAAGCTCCTCTGTTTTTATTGATTTGACAACTTTCACCATAGCTCTCTTTTTCTCTGCACTGGTGTTTCCCCTCTCTACATTCCTCCCAGTGTTCCTTATCCAACTCCCACTAGAGAGGATGTCCCCGGCCTTTATTCATGGCTCTCCAAAAGCACTGAGCCCCCTTAGTGGTTCATTCTCAGAAATTCAATGGGATGTGGGGTCTGATATCTTTTAAGGATTCACAGTTTATAATAAGGAATTTGATTGATTAGAATATTTTCAAATAGAATAGACATTTAAAAAAAAAAAAATTACTATATCTTTTGTACTACAGACATTAAAAAGTGCAACACCATAGAGAGTTTTATAATTAAAGGGACACTATAGTCAACATATAAAAGCAAGAAAGGCAGGTCCCTCAGCCTTCCTTCTTGCTTTTATATGTACTTTCATTTAATAAAAATTATTTTCAAAGCGTTTTTATATTAAAAACTTACCTCCGTTCCAGCGCCGATCTCCCCGCAAGGCCACGCCCCCTTTTTCATCAAAATGACAAAATCGCGAGGCTCAATCAGAAGCTTCTCTCAGACAAGCGTCATCGCGATGTGGTGCGCAAGCGCGGCTTTGCGCTGCACCAATCGTGTTCTTCATAGAGCGGCATTGAATGCCGCCCTATGAAGACACTCAGCGCTATACCGCGCATGTTCACGGTATGTGCGTTCGCGAGCTGACTCTCAGCTCGCTGTGTGTGCCCGCCCCCTCCTACGGCAACCCTCTTACTTCAAACTTTGTATGCAAACACTATATATTAAAATGTCTCTATATATGGTGTTTGCATACAAACACACACATATTGTTAAACATACACACACACTGTAAATAAATATTGTTAAACACACATACACACTATTTCTACTTCTTTCTATATATCTATATATATTTATATCTATTTCTGTCTATTTCTTTCAATCTTTTTATCTATCTTTATCTATCTATTTCTATTTCTTTTTCATTCGATCTATTTTTCTTCTATCTATTTCTTTCTATCTATGTCTATCTATCTATATCTATGTCTATATATTTCTATCTATTTGTTTCTGTCTATCTATATTTTTCTATCTATTTCTATCTATTTCTTTTTCTTTCTATCTATTTTTCTTCTATCTATTTATTTCTATCTATGTCTATCTAGCTATGTCTGTCTATCTATCGATGTATATCTATTTCTTTCTCTCTATCTATTTCTATCTATCTATATATTTCTATCTATTTCTTTCTGTCTATCTCTGTCTATTTCGTTCTATCTTTCTATCTATCTATCTATCTATCTATCGTTCTATCGTTCTATCTTTCTATCTATCTATCTATTTTTCTTCTATTTTTTTCTTTCTATCTATGTCTATCTATTTATCTATCTATGTCTATCTATCTATTTCTTTCTGTCTATTTCTATCTATCTGTCTATTTCTTACTGTCTGTCTGTCTTTCTATCTATTAATCTATCTATATTTTTCTATTTATTTTTCTTCTATCTATTTTTTTCCATCTATGTCTATCTATGTATTTCTTACTATCTATCTATTTATTTATTTCTGTCTATATATATATATATATCTATATCTATATATATATATATATATAGATATAGATATATATACATATTTCAATCTATCTATTTCTATCTATCACTCTCTATTTCCATCTAATTATTTATGTCTGTCTATCTATCTATCTCTATTTATTTATTTCTGTCTATCTATATCTATTTCTTTCTATCTATTTCTATCTATCACTCTCTATTTCCATCTAATTATTTCTGTCTGTCTATCTATCTCTATTTATTTATTTCTATCTATCTATCTATCTATCTATCTATCTATCTATATATATATATATATATATTTCTATCTATCTATTTCTTTCTGTCTATCTCTCTATTTCTATCTTTTTTCTATCTATTTCTTTTTCTTTCTATTTTTCTTCTATTTCTATCTATCATTCTATCTATCTATCTATGTCTGTCTATCTATCTTGTTCTATCTATCTATCTATCTATCTATCTATGTCTGTCTATCTATCTTGTTCTATCTATCTATTTATTTCTGTCTATCTATATCTATTTCTTTCTGTCTATCTATTTCTATCTATATCTATTTCTTTCTGTCTATCGATTTCTTTCTGTCTATCGATTTCTTTCTGTCTATCTATTTCTTTCTATCTATCTTTTTCTTTCTTTCTATTTTTATCTGTCTATTTCTATCTATCTATTTCTATCTATCCCTCTCTATTTCCATCTAATTATTTCTGTCTTTCTGTCTATCTATATCTATTTCTTTCCATCTATTTCTATCTATCACTCTCTATTTCCATCTAATTATTTCTGTCTATCTGTCTTTCTCTATTTATTTCTATATATATATATATATATATATATATATATATATATTTCTTTCTATCTATCTCTATCCCACCCACACTGTCACCCACACTCACAATCACTCAGTCACCCACACTCACTCACTCACTCACCCCCACTCACAATCACTCACCTGCCCACACTCACAGTCACTAACACACACAGTCACCCACCCCCACTCACCCACACAGTCACCGTCTCACCCACACTCACACTGTCTCTCTCACACACTGTCTTTCACACACTGTCTCTCACAGTCTCAGTCACTGTCTCTCTCTCACTCACTGTCTCTGTCACTGTCTCTCAGACTCACTGTCTCTTTCACTCACACACTCACTCTAAATTTTTTAAATAAGTGTACTTACAGTTTGAAGTCAGATCTCTGCATCCTTCCGCTTTTGTCAGCTCCAGCCGACTCCCAGCGCTGCTGCTGCTGCTTCTGCTGCTTCTGCTTACAGCCTGCAGACAGGATGCTTGTGCACAGTCAGAGCTGCCCTGCCTGCTGACAGCAGATCTGAGTGGATGGAGGCATATTATGCCTCCATCAACTCCGAAGTCCCTCTGGTTCACTCTGAGTGACTGCAACTGGAGGTGTTCCTAGCTTTCAATGTAAACACTGTATTTTCTCAGAAAATAGTGTTTACATGAAAAAGGCTGCAGGTAGCTATAGTTCTCATCTGAACAACCTCATTAAGCTGAAGTTGTTCAGGTCACCATAGTGTCCCTTTAATGTGAACCTGATGCCAGATTTAAAGGAGAAGGTCTATGATGGATATTTGATCAATTATGAATAATATTGTCTGTTTATAACTTGACGAACATGTGTTCTCCTTCCCAATACAGGTGACAACAATGAGTGTGGGATGCATTTATGCGAGTGTGATCGAAAAGCTGCTCTATGCTTCTCTACAGCATCCTACAATGAGACCAACAAAGACCTTGACAAAGACCAGCGCTGTAAATAACAGAACAGATACCTGGTATGAGAGGTCCTGGCCTAAGCATTAATATATCTATATACACCATCTCTCTATTCCTAGAATGCTGTGATACCAACTAAAAACAGCCCTCTATCTCTATATGATCTTGATATGCTCAGTACCCACATATTATGAGGTATTACCTTTGCATTCATCCTTGATTTCTGACAATATACCTGAACTGTTCCCTCTACTCGGTGTATGTTGATGGGCCCTTTATCCATTCCTACAGTTTTCTCATTCTTGGTGTTTGGATGCCTGCAATGTTTATTGTTCGGTACATTTTTATAATCGGCAGCCATTTTATAGTTAGCAGCTATTTCATAAGCATTAGTCATTTTTAAATCTGATTAATTTTTTTCTACTGTATTGCTAAAAGCTGTAATAATCCTTTCTAACGACAGAATAAAATATTAAGTATGATGTATTTGTTAATTCAAGTGTTCTGTTGCATCTAGAAACAGATGTTCTCTAAAAAGGGAAATCTATGTCCAGCAAGATACTTTGAGGAAGTAACACAAATACCTTCTGCAAGCTGATCAAATATATGTCATGAAACAATGTGTAAGACTGGATATTTCTCAGGTCTCTCACACTGCCATGGACTTGTCACCGGCTTATCTCTTTCTCAGACCTTGGAAAAGGCCTGTCACAAATAACACACACTGGAGAACGCAATTTTCCCCTCCCAACAAGGAGATATATAGATTTTTTTAGTCTAGAGTGTTACACTTTATTCAGCCCAGTGGCGTACTAAGGGGAGGGGGAGGGGGGGGAGAGCGGTCCGCCCCGGGTGCCACTCAGTAGGGGGGTGCCAGGCTCTATACCTCCTGCTCTCCAGCAGCTCTGGCAGACCGGCGCTCAGTTTGTGAGTCAGAGAACAAGGAGGGGATTCCCAGCCTGTGTTCTGACTCACACACTGAGCTGCAGGGAGGCTATTTCGGAGTGTACCAGCAGGGGACGCAGAGCCAGGTTGCTCCCCCGCAGTCACTCTGTACATAGGGATCAGCTCTCTAGATCCCCTGCACCTGCTGCCTGCCTGGGAAGGAGCTGCTGCCCCTGCACCCTCCTAAATGGTAACTATTATACCACCACCCTCCCTGCCCTATACCCCCACTGCCATTATACCACCACCCTCCCTGCCCTATACCCCCACTGCCATTATACCCCCACCCTCCCTGCCCTATACCCCCGACATTATACCACAACCCTCCTTGCCCTATACCCCCACTGCCATTATACCCCCACCCTCCCTGCCCTATACCCGACATTTATACCACAGCCCTCCTTGCCCTATACTTTACTGCCATTATACCCCCACCCTCCACTGCCCCTGCCCCCGACATTATACCACCCACCCTCCTTGCCCTATACCCTCCTGCCCTACCCCAGCCATTATACCACGCCCTCCTTGCCCTATACCCCCCCCACTGCCACTATGCCCCATCCTCCTGCCCTATACCCCCCTGCCATTATACCACCACCCTCCCTGCCCTATACCCCACCCCCCACTGCCATTATAACCCCCCCTGCCATTATACCACCACCCTCCCTGCCCTATACCCCACCCTCTTCCCCTTTACTCCCACACTCCCTGCCCTATAACCCCACCTTACTGCCATTATAACCCCCTGCCAAACATACCCCACTATGCTTCTACACCACCCACCATTATACCCCCCACCCTCCCTGCCCTATACCCTCCGCCATTATACCCCCACCCTCCCTGCCCTATACCCTCCGCCATTATACCCACACCCTCCCTGCTCTATACCCCCACTGCCATAACACCACTGTAACCGTGGAAGCGTGCAGAAGCCAAACACAGAGAGATGGACACAGGTATTCAGGAAGTAAGAGGCCTTTATTCACGTACCGATCGGGTCTCAGATGGACTAACGTTCCACAACAGATCTGAGCCCCGAACACATGAAGTACATTCCTTATATAGCACTATAGCTCCTCCCATAAATAGCTACACCCACACATACCCTTAACCAATCAATGAACAGAGTCTAGACTTGCTCATCCGGTCTAACCACGTGGCTCATCAGAAACAAAGGAGAAGAGCGTGTAATTCCAGTTCCTGCATTTCTGCACATGCTCAGTACATTGGTGACAGTATCTTAGCTAACTGATACAACATACACATGTACCTACATATGCCACGTGGCAATCTTGGCCTACTAAACTTTTATTTTACTGGAATTCCATCACACCACCCTCCCTGCCCTATACCCCCACTGCCATTATACCACCGCCTTCCCTGCCCTATACCCCACCCCCCCCTGCCCTATACCCCCTGCCATTATTCCACCACCCTCCCTGCCATTATAACCCCCCCTGTATTATACTACCCCACCCCCACTGCCATTTATAGCCCCCTGCCTATGCCCAGCCATTATACCACCACCCCTCCCTGCCCTATACCCCCGCCATTATATACCTATACACCTGCCATTATAACCCCCTGCCATTATTCTTCCCACCCTCCTGCCATTATAACCCCCCCCTGCCTATACCCCCTGCCATTTATATCACCCCCCACCCTCCCTGCCATTATAACCCCCATTGGTATACACACCACCCTCACCCCTATATCCACCCCCCACTGGCATTATACCCCCACCATCCTGCCATTCTCAACCCCCAGCCATTATACCACCTCCCCTACCTCCCAGCTGCCATTATGTACCCCCCACCATTATAACCCCCCTGCCATTCCACCCCTTCATTATGCCCCCCCCACCCTCCACCATTTATAATCCCCTGTCCTATACCCCACCTCAATTATATTACCTCAGCCCTAATGCCCCCCATCCCCCTGCCATTATACTCCCTTGCCCCCACACTCTCTGCCCTATACCCCCATCTCACTGCCATTATAACCCCCTCCCATTATACTCCCACCCCTCATGCCCTATACCCCCACCTCACTGCCATTATAAACCCAGAGCAGCCACCAAATGGTGAGACAGACCCTGCTTATCTTGCACCCTCCTAAATGGTAAGGTACTACTATACACCCCCTTGCCCTATACCCCCCTGCCGTATATTTTTCTGTTTAAGCCATTCTGTTGTTGATTTACTTCTGTGCTTTGGGTCATTGTCCTGTTGCAACACCCATTTTCTGTTGAGCTTGAGCTGGTAGACAGATGGCCTTAAGTTCTCCTGCAAAATGTCTTGATAAAATTGGGAATTTGTTTTTCCTTCGATGATAGCAATCCATCCAGGCCCTGACGCAGCAAAGCAGCCCCAAACCATGATGTCCCCACCACCATACTTCACAGCTGGGATGAGATTTTGATGTTGGTGTGCTGTGCCTTTTTTCACCACACATAGTGTTGTGTGTTTCTTCCAAACAACTCAACTTTGGTTTCATGTGTCCACAGAATATTTTGCCAGTACTGCTGTGGAACACCCAGGTGCTCTTGTGCAAACTGTAAACGTGCAGCAATGTTTTGTTTGGATAGCAGTGGCTTCCTCTGTGGTATCCTCCCATGAAATCCATTCTTGTTTAGTGTTTTACGTATTGTAGATTCGCTAACAGGGATGTTAGCATTTGCCAGTGACTTTTGTAAGTCTTTAGTTGACACCCTAGGATTCTTCTTCACCTCATTGAGCAGTCTGCGCTGTGCTCTTGCAGTCATCTTTACAGGACGGCCACTCCTAGGGAGAGTAGCAGCAGTGCTGAACTTTCTCCATTTATAGACAATTTGTCTTACCGTGGACTGATGAACAGCAAGGCTTTTGGAGATACTTTTATAACCCTTTCCAGCTTTATGCAAGTCAACAATTCTTAATTGTAGGTCTTCTGAGAGCTCTTTTGTGCAAGGCATCATTCACATCAGACAATGCTTCTTGTGAACTGGTGTGTGTTTTTTTTATAGGGCAGGGCAGCTGTAACCAACACCGCTAATCTCATCTCATTGATTAGACTCCAGTTGGCTGACATCTCACTCCAATTAGCTCTTGTAGATGTCATTAGTCTAGTGGTTCACATACTTTTTCCACCTGCATTGTGAATGTTTACATGGTGTGTTCAATAAAAACATGGCAACATTTCATTCTTTGTGTGTTATTAGTTTAAGCAGACTATGTCTATTTTTGTGACTTAGATGATGATCAGATCATATTTTATGACCAATTTGTGCAGAAGTCCATATCATTCCAAAGGGTTCACATACTTTTTCTTGCAACTGTATACACAAACAACCACAGATGTACAAGTCTGTGTGTATATATATCTGTGGTTGTGTGTGTATATAAATGTGTATGTGTTTAGTAGATAGCTCCCTTATTTGGTGTCCTTAAATATGTCAATCCTACATAAGGATAACAAATAGAGGAGTTATCTGCTAAACAAAGATCGAAGTTTAGAGGTGTCAGCCAGCGCAGAACAGGAAATCTGGGTGGTTAGTATGAATTCTATGCAAATGTGTTGTCTGATTGTGTGTATATATATTTGTGTATGTGTGTATATGTGCATAGCATTTTGCCAACACTACACACAAGCACACCACTGTATTCAAACAACACTACAAACAAACACACCTTTGTATTAAAACATCACCATTAGATATAACCACACCACTGCATCTCGCCAACACTACACACAAATGCATGCCTGCATTCAAACGCCAACACTACACACCCCTACATTCACTCACACATTTTCCATACAAAAACACATGCTTACATTTAGATGCACAAACACTGCTAAGTGCTACATTAATTTAAACAAATTTGGGGTGTTTTCTTTAAATTTTAAGGTGGTGGTGGTGGGGGGTGCCATAAGGAGGATCCGCCACGGGTGCCAAATGCTCTAGGTACGCCCCTGATTCAGCCAATCACAGATTGACACAGTATTCCTTGCAAACCAAGCAATTCTAACACATCAGGAACGTTCGGGGATCCTACATGCAGAATGCAAATACTAGTAATGTATACCGGACCTTAGGATGACTGGACTAACACTGCACACACAAAGAATAGTCAAATAGCGAGCCGATGTCAGGGGTACCATAAATCAGAATTAACGATAATGCAATAGCAGAGGTCAAATGAACACAGAAGGAGTAGTAGTCAAATGAAGCCAAAGCCAGAATACAGAAATACACACTCTTGGGTCAAACAAGAACCACAACAGGGCAATGAATATCTCACTGGTTTCTCTTTAAAGGGACACTATAGTCACCTGAACAATCTTAGCTTAATGAAGCAGTTTTGGTGTATAGAACATGCACCTGCAGCCTCACTGCTCAATCCTCTGCTATTTAGGAGTTAAATCCCTTTTGTTTATGAACCCTAGTCACACCTCCCTGCATGTGACTTGCACAGCCTTCCATAAACACTTCCTGTAAAGAGAGCCCTATTTAGGCTTTCTTTATTGCAAGTTCTGTTTAATTAAGATTTTCTTATCCCCTGCTATGTTAATAGCTTGCTAGATCCTGCAAGAGTCTCCTGTATGTGATTAAAGTTCAATTTAGAGATTGAGATACAATTATTTAAGGTAAATTACAACTGTTTGAAAGTGAAACCAGTTTTTTTTTTCATGCAGGGTCTGTCAATAATATAAAGAAGTATATATGGAATCTCTCACACACTCGTGAATTTATAACAATGATTCTAAAATCCACATACAGTGATATAGAAATTTCAATTTAAAGTGATTATGGTGGAATAAACAAATAAAGAGTAACTTCCCTTAGCAATATAGGATATGCCCGAAGATTTCCTCCTATCTTCAATTCAACAAGTATATGGTATAGGGCTATTCCAAGCTATGGAAATAAGAAATACATGGCATAGTGCAATATTGTCTGTGGTAAAATGGGTATATAAGTAAGTGCCGAATGTTCACTCACACTTTAACATCCCAAGAAATGCCTTCAAAAATGTGCTTAGTGTGTTTTCTTGCTTCAATGTTTGATGAATATAGATCTCATAAAAAAACAAAAATAAATTTAAAAAAAGAATGAAATGACTGTATGAATAAAGAGTATAAATCACTGGTAAGACCCCATATTGAATATGCTGTGCAATTTTGGGCACCTGTTCTAAAGAAGGATATTATGGCACTAGAAAAAGTGCAGAGGCGGGCTACAAAATTAATAAAAGGAATGGAACATATCGGCTATGAAGAAAGGTTAACAAATTTAAACCTATTTAGTTTAGAAAAACGTCGCCTGAGAGTGGATATGATAACATTATACAAATATATTCGGGGCCAATACAAACCATTGTGTGGAAATATATATTTACAAACCGGACTTTACATAGGACACGAGGCCATGCGTTTAGACTGGAAGAAAGAAGATTTCGCCTAAGGCAAAGGAAAGGTTTTTTTACTGTAAGAACAATCAGGATGTGGAATTCTCTGCCTGAGGAAGTGGTTTTATCAGAGTCCATACAGATGTTCAAACGGCTACTAGATGCATACTTGCAAGAACAGAATATTCAAGGATATAATCTTCAATGTAGGGTAATAACTGCTTGATCCAAGGATAAATCTGACTGCCATTCTGGGGTCAAGAAGGAATTTTTTTCCTAGCTTGTTGCAAAATTGTGCTTCAAACTGGGTTTTTTTGCCTTCTTTTGGATCAACAGCAAAAAACAAATGTGAGGAAGGCTGAACTTGATGGACGCAAGTCTCTTTTCAGCTATGTAACTATGTAACTATGTAAAAAAAAGCATTTATTACTTACATCAAAGTAAATAATAACAGGTATATCAGTCCAACGCGTTTTTTCCTTGTTAGGGACTTCCTCAGGGACAATCTTTAACAGCAATGTTGAATACAAATGCTAGTTACAAACATCCCCTAATATATACCACCCCCAATTAGTCCCAATAGGCATTTCTTGGGATGTTAAAGTGTGAGAGAACATTTGGCACTTACTTATATACCCATTTTACCACAGACAATATTGCACTATTCCATGTATTTCTTATTTCCATATCTGTCAATAATAGCCAGGGGAGGTGTGGCTAGGGCTGCATAAACAGAAACAAAGTGATTTAACTCCTAAATGACAGTGAATTGAGCAGTCAAATTGCAGGGGAATAATCTATACACTAAAACTGCTTTATTTAGCTAAAGTAATTTAGGTGACTATAGTGTTCCTTTAAATACCGTGCTCAATTAAGTAGGTAACCATGCCCCCAAAATGTTCTCGTTCAAACACCTTGGCGGGCGTCGGCGCTCATTATCCTCGTCATAAAAGGAGGCAGGGTTATCGTGGGTGGCGTGAGAATCGCTGGGGACAAGCTGAGAGTTGGTAGGAGTGTCTCCAATACCCTGCAGTGTGATGCCAGACTGTGACATTCCCCTGACTGATACACAAGGTAACCTGACAATCACGTACAATTCTGTATGTTAGGGGTAGATAAGCAAACTTGCTTAGCATAGCTTAGGGTGGGGTGTAATACTTGTTTTTCAAACAGAGAAGAAGCCCCTACTAAGCATTATAAAATATTTCACTGATACAGCTAAAAAGTCTCTAAGCATTATAAATAACTTGATACACGAAGCCAAAGCAATAACATTTACCCTAACAATTTCCCCCTGTGAGCACAAAGTGATCATGAAAAATAAGCATGCGAAAAGAAAAAGTCTCAGAGCTGCATGCTATTAATCAATCACCTTCACCTCCGGGTGTGATCTGTGTGAGGTACTTTTTACCGTGGGGGTTTTGGAGGAACCAATTTTAGCTTAGTGGTCACATTCACAATGCAATAAATACTACTAATATAAGGCATCTAAATAGTTTCTTTCCCATTTACGCGATTAACCTCCCAATCTATACGTCCAATCAAAATTATCGAAAAGATGCCCCTCTGTGGGAGGAATCAAGGTAAAACATCATCAAGGTTTCAATTTAAAAACTCTTTGGACAGTGAGGGAAAGTAATATATCTCACTACTCTATCCAAGTGATTTGCTGCCAGTTATGAAATCAGTGCATTCCAAACTTGACAAATTCAACACCACACATCCATCAACAATTCATCAACACCACACATCCATCAACAATTCATCAACACCACACATCCTTCACTCAATCATACACCTGTTACTGGGTTTGCTAACATTTCCTCTCTCTCCGGCTAACTATACAAAAAATATTGTCATAAAATACTTTAGCATAGTTCAGAAAAACAAAAATAAATCTTTCAAAAACATAGGAAAAATCAGTTTGTATGCCATAGGTGATAGGTAACATAATGTGGAATCCAAACTCAAATATTTATTGATAAGCTTTCTAGACGCAACAGTGTGAGACTGATACTTTATCCAAAATTAGAATCGTTTAAAACTACACTACAAACCACCAAGAGAAGCTTAATCTCCACAATAAAAAAAATTAAATAAACTTCACACTTTGTGTCCCTCAGAGGAAAATAAATCATTATAATAAAAAAATTTCTAGAGATCTGGGCTTGAGGCAAATCATTTAAAAAACAAACAAAAAAAACAA